CACAGAGCCCTGGTCTCATCAGGGCGAAGTGGGGTCTCACAAGCACCAGGGCTCCATAGGGTCTCACCAGGGCTGCATGGGGTCTCACAATGGCTTTGTGGGGTCTCACCAAGGCTCTCTGGGGAATCACCAGGGCTCTGAGGGGGTCTCACCAGGGTAGCAGGGCTCGGTGTTGTCTCACCAGGGCTCTATGGAGTCTAACCAGCCTTGTTAGACCCCACAGACAGCTGGCGAGACCCCACAGAGCCCTGGTTAAACCGGGGCTACCTAGGGTCTCCACAGGACTCTCTAGGGTCACAGGGCTCTCACCATTGCTGTAGCCTGTGAAGGCTGCCTCTCACCAGGACTGTGCAGGGAGCTTCTCACTGGCGGGAGCGTGCAGGATGAGCCGTTGCTGACGTCTGCCCCTGACGATCCACCCTCCCAGCCAGATTTAACTCCGCCCTCCCAGCCAGATTCAACTCCGCCCTCCCAGCCAGATTGGGATCCTCGCACGGTGGATGGGAGGGGTGAAATGGCTTCCCAGTGGCTGGTGGGCGGAGCTCCAGAAGACCAGTGGCTGAATGGACGGACCGAGGAAACAGATAAGCTCTCAGCCCTGTCGCTGTCAAACGGAGATGCTCCGTTTGACAGGGCTAAGAGCTCATGAAGTTACCTGGCTGTGAGGTAATGTGACGGCAGGGCAAATTAGGCGGCCGCGAGGCCCTCGGGAGCGTGAGGCCAAAGCGACCGCCTAATTTGCCGAATTAAAGAGCCGCCTCTGTTTAGACCCCCTTCCTGGCCAGGTCATTTTTCAGTATTCAGAGCTGCGGTACTTTGACTGACATTTATTCCGTCATACAGCGCTGTACTGAAATGAATTTTATACCCTTTTTTGGGGACAGATAGAGCTTTCTTTTGGTGGTATTTAATCACCACTGGGGGTTTTATTTTTTACTATATTCAGGAAAAATTACTAAACACTTCAAAATTTTTTAATTTTTATACATTATGTTATAAAACATTTATTATTACCCCAATTTTTTGGTAAAATATAAAAGACGGGGTCACGTCGGGTAAATAGACACCAAACATGTCAAGCTTAAAAATTGCGCGCACCCGCGAAATCACAAAAAACTACCATACCAAAATTGACCATAGGCGACGCTTTAAAAGCTTTTACAGGTCATCAGTTTCGTGTTATCAGTGATTGATGGCCCTAGAACTATTGCTCTCATTGCGACGTTCGCGGTGATAGGTAACATGTGCGGCGTAATGGGAGCAATCGTCGTTTTCGCAGGTATGCGCACCTGACGCATGTTTACATGTGTGTATGTAGGGGTGGGAACTTAAAAAAAAAATAGTTTTTTGTTAATTCTTTTTTATGTTACACTTATGTGTAACTTAAAAATGTTTTTTGGGGGGGGAAACGTTAATTTTTTTCCTATTAACTTTATTGTCATCACAGAGGGGGCTAAGAAACCTCTCTATGTGATAGCAAAAGATGCGACAGGTCCTCTTTATGGAGACATCAGGGGACATAATGTCACCTACTTTCCCACTCTGACACCGGAGGAAGATCGTGTACCGACCTCCCTCTAATCCCCTGTCAGAGAGGCACTATGCTGGTCCCGGGCTCGCACCGGGCACAGCGGAGCCCGGGACCAGCGTGACAGTGGGAGGAGGGGAGCCGCAGAGGGGGCGCACATACCGGGACCTCATACGAGCGATCCTTGTATGTTATCGCTTGTATGTTAACGGGCATCGCTGCCGGTTTTTACATTTTGTGTCTTTCCCGCACGCACGCGCGCGCCGCGTGCACGAGTGGGCGGGACTAACAGGCCGTATATGCATGGCCTGTTACATCCGGGATGCTCCCGGCCGTCCGTTTATACACAACGGCCGGCAGGGAAGTAGTTAACATTTTTTTTTTTTGCTATTTTTTTTCACTTGGGTTGAGACTAAGAGCTAACAACTCACATTCACTTGATCTGATTTGGAATAGAAATAACAGATCCATGAAACACTTGATTTATGAAGTGTTCACAATCTTAGTGTTTATAATTTTTATTCAAAATGTCAGGTCCTGAGCTACTAGCCAGGCCTTCAAAGCCTAATAGACAACTTATAGAGTTTAATGTGAGGAGGAAAGAGAAATCCAATATATTGTTTATAGTGGGGAGGAGAGGAGAAGCACAATATACAGTTTATAGCAAAGAGTAACTACTATAAAAGTGGCCTGATAGACAACGTATAGTCCGGAGGAAGGAGAGGTCCAATAGAGAGTGTATAGTCAGTAGGGGCAGAGAGGCCGAATAGACCATTTATAGTGGAGAGAAGTGGAGAAGCCCAAAGGACAGTATATAGCCGGGAGGAGTGGAGAAGCCCTGCAGACTTTATATAGCTGGGAGTCGTAGAGAAGCCCACTAGACGGTTCGTAGCAGAGAGTAATAGAGAAGCCCAATAGACAATTTATAGTGAAGGAGAGGTCCAATAGACAGTTTATAGTGAAGGAGAGGTCCAATAGACAGTTTATAGTGGGGAGTAACTAATAGAGGCCTGATAGACAATTCATAGTGAGGAAGAAGGAGATGTCTAATGGACAGTTTATAGTGGGGAGGAGTGGAGAAGCACAATAAACGGTTTATAGTGGGGAGGAGAGGTCCCATAGACTGTTGTTTAGTGAGCTGGAAGTCCTCAACGCTGGGAGTAATAGTTCCTCAGTAGAACCTCGGACTTTCCCAGAAATCAGGGAGAGCTGGCAGCCACCCATGCTGGGCGTTGTAGTTCCTCAGTAGAACCTCGGACTTTCCCAGAAATCAGGGAGAGCTGGCAGCCATCCAATCCATGTTGGGTGTTGTAGTTCCTTAGCAGGTGGAGCTCCACCCCTTGTGGAACTTTCTCCTGGTGCGGCCCCTAGTCACCTGGCTGTCCTGCCATCACACGGCATAGGAAGTGATCCTCCTAGAATTAGTATTCCTCTCTCGGCGCTCTGTGTTATTTCCTCCCTCATAAATCTCGCCGTTTCCATCATTAAATATACAAATCTATTCACAGGGCGACACGTGGGCTATGTGGAGCTGACTCCGACCCGCCTGACACACCGCCAGCGAGGACAAATCTCTCCACGTTCCCTGACGAATCCGCACACACCCGCCGCCACGTGCCACGGCCAATAATGGGGCTCGTTCACAAGTCGCAACAATGACACAAAGGAAATGATTTAATGCAGCCAAGTGACCTCCCGGGGACACACCGGAGAGAAATCGGACAGTAATATGGGTTAATTTGTGATGTTGGAGGAATGTTACATTTGTGGTGCAGAAAGTATTCTTTAAGGTAAAAGCGGTAAATTTGTGTTGTAGGAAGGGCTCTTAAGGGTAATGGACGTTAGTTTGTATTGTAGGAAGGGTTATTTAGGGTAATGGAGGTTAGTTTGTATTGTAGGAAGGGTTATTTAGGGTAATGGAGGTTAGTTTGTGGTGTAGGAAGGGCTCTTTAAGTAATGGAGGTTAGTTTGTATTGTAGGAAGGGCTCTTAAGGGTAATGGAGGTTAGTTTGTATTGTAGGAAGGGTTCTTTAGGGTAATGGAGGTTAGTTTGTATTGTAGGAAGGGTTCTTTAGGGTAATGGAGGTTAGTATGTGTTGTAGGAAGGGTTCTTTAGGTAATGGAGGTTAGTTTGTATTGTAGGAAGGGCTCTTTAGTGTAATGGAGGTTAGTATGTGTTGTAGGAAGGGCTCTTAAGGGTAATGGAGGTTAGTTTGTATTGTAGGAAGGGTTCTTTAGTCTAATGGAGGTTAGTTTGTATTGTAGGAAGGGTTCTTTAGGTAATGGAGGTTAGTTTGTGGTGTAGGAAGGGTTCTTTAAGTAATGGAGGTTAGTTTGTATTGTAGGAAGGGTTCTTTAAGTAATGGAGCTTAGTTTGTATTGTAGGAAGGGTTATTTAGGGTAATGGAGGTTAGTTTGTGCTGTAGGAAGGGTTCTTTAGGTAATGGAGGTTAGTTTGTTTTGTAGGAAGGGTTCTTTAGGGTAATGGAGGTTAGTTTGTGGTGTAGGAGGGTTCTTTAGGGTAATGGAGGTTAGTTTGTGCTGTAGGAATGGTTATTTAGGGTAACGGAGGTTAGTTTGTGGTGTAGGAAGGGTTCTTTATGGTAATGGAGGTTAGTTTGTGGTGTAGGAAGGGTTCTTTAGGGTAGTGGAGGTTAGTTTGTATTGTAGGAAGGGTTCTTTAGGGTAGTGGAGGTTAGTTTGTGGTGTAGGAAGGGCTCTTTAGGGTAGTGGAGGTTAGTTTGTATTGTAGGAAGGATTCTTTAGGGTAGTGGAGGTTAGTTTGTGGTGTAGGAAGGGTTATTTAGGGTAATGGAGGTTAGTTTGTATTGTAGGAAGGATTCTTTAGGGTAATGGAGGTTAGTTTGTATTGTAGGAAGGATTCTTTAGAGTAATGGATGTTAGTTTGTTTTGTAGGAAGGTTCTTTAGGGTAATAGAGGTTAGTTTGGGTTCTTTAGGGTAATGCATCCAATTTGTTTTGGGATCATGTTAGGCAGTGAGTTTAGGAAGGGGTGGAGAGGGGCCGCAGAGGTTCCCTCTATGGCCCGGTGAGGTTCACCGTTCTTGCCGTCAGATTATACAACCTGAGAACAGTTTATCCCGTCTCTAATACACACCAGGAGAGCGTTCGGATAAATCACCCGTCTGATTTACAAACCATCTGAAAGTATCAGCGAAGTGATCAATGTTCCGCAGAGATTCCCCGATAAATAAGCGCCGGCACCTCGGGCCTCTCACTTCAGGATCGCGTCACATTAATCATCCGTTTTATTTATTTCTGGAATCACAAAATGTGAGACGGCGGAAAATTCTCCGATGTATAAGAAGGAGCCGCGCACAGCTCCACCTGAAATGTATCCCAATTCCCATCGGCCGCTCATTTATTCCACGCCAGAGGCTTCCGGCTAGAGGGCTCCGCCGACAATTCATCACACCGAGGAACAAGATCGATCCGTTTTTCAGGAATCTCCGGCGGCCGTTTATCCCGACGGGGGCTGTGGGGGGAGGGAGGACTGCGGCTCGGAGGTCGCTACAAGTGAAAGAAGTAGAAAATAATCACAGCTGCCGGAAAATGGACCGCGAACAGCCGAGGAAGGAAAGGCGGGAAAATCAAACGCGGCGCTCATATTTACCATGGAGGAAAAATGGTGCTAAAATCTTCAATTCCTCCGTGCGGCCAAATATCCGACACCAGAGAAGAGGGGAACTCATAGAGCTGCCGAACTGAACCGCAACCGGAATATTAATACCAAATGAATGTCTGTCATTACACTGCCGAGAGATACAATGTACAGAACGCAGAGGAGCTTACACTCTAATCTCCCACACTGCTATCATACATTAATATAGCTCTGACATAATCCGCAGTGTAGTACAAAGAGCACTCAGCCAGTCACATCAGTCTCTGTACCAGAGGAGTTTTCACTCTAATCTCCCACGCTGTTATAGCTCTGACATATACCACAGTGCTGTACAAGAAACAATGAACCAGTTATATCGGTCTCTGCACTAGAGGAGCTCGCACTCTAATGTCCCAAACTGAGGATATATACACACAGTGGGGTCAGGTCACCTTTCACTACATTTTTGGATTGTAGGAAGAAACCCATACAAATACAAGGTGAACATACAAACTCCATGCAGATCGCACTCAGGTCAGAACTGAACCCAGAACCTCTGTCCCATCCTGCCAGGACCTTCTGGGAGGGTGTCACACGCGGCTCTCACCATTTTAGAGATCTTCTTTAAGCCCTTCACAGCTGTTTTCCGTATGAATTTCGGCAGGGACGGGTTCCCCTGTCCGGCTAGTTTTGCCGCATCCCCCGGGCTCATGTTGGCAAAAGCGTGGACCAAGAAATTCAACTTCACAGAAACACACTGCAGACTCTCCGTAATCTTGCTGGAGGGACAGAGAAAATATGACTTTTTATGTCTTATTATCATCAGAGATCAGAGCGTTCATATTAGGAATTATGAAAGTGTGCTGGATCCCGGGGTCCTATCACCACATACCCAGATCCCGGGGTCCTATCACCACATACCCAGATCCCGGGGTCCTATCACCACATACCCAGATCCCGGGGTCCTATCACCACATACCCAGATAACCACGGGCACCTATCCCCATATACCCAGGTCCCGGGGTCCTATCACCACATACCCAGATCCCGGGGTCCTATCACCACATACCTGGATCCCGGGGTCCTATCACCACATACCCAGATCCCGGGGTCCTATCACCACATACCCAGATCCCGGGTCCTATCACCACATACCCAGATCCCGGGTCCTATCACCACATACCCAGATCCCGGGGTCCTATCACCACATACCCAGATCCCGGGGTCCTATCAGCACATACCTGGATCCCAGGGTCCTATCACCACATACCTGGATCCCGGGGTCCTATCACCACATACCCATATCCTGGGGTCCTATTACCACATACCCAGATCCCGGGGTCCTATCACCACATACCTGGATCCCGGGGTCCTATCACCACATACCCAGATCCCGGGGTCCTATCACCACATTCCCAGATCCCGGGGTCCTATCACCACATACCCAGATCCCGGGGTCCTATCACCACATACCTGGATCCCGGGGTTCTATCACCACATACCTGGATCCTGGGGTTCTATCACCACATACCTGGATCCTGGGTCCTATCACCACATACCGGGATCCCGGGTCCTATCACCACATACCCAGATCCCGGGGTCCTATCACCACATACCCAGATCCTGGTGTCCTATCATCACATACCCAGATCCCGGGGTCCTATCACCACATACCCAGATCCCGGGGTCCTATCACCACATACCCAGATCCCGGGGTCCTATCACCACATACCTAGATCCCGGGTCCTATCACCACATACCCAGATCCCGGG